AACTTTTTTTTCTTGGTTGTTTTTGGAACAGGGTGTGGGGGGGGGGCCGCTGGGGCAGGGCTAGGTTTTGTGTTCAGTTCTTTGCTCTTGGTTCTTTCTATATACATACACATATATATATTTAAAGAACGGCGCGGTTGGCTCTGTCCCGTCGCTGTGTAGAAGCGACTCCAGCCCCGGGGGGTGGGGGGCAGGCAGGGCGCTGTCCCTGGGCTCGATGGCACCGCCCGGGCCCCCTGCAGGCCCAGGCTGGGGACCATCCCAGGTCTGTGTCTGAGCGCCGGGGCAGGAGGAGGGCCCTGAGCTGGCTCCCACGCACAGGACAGCAGAGGCACCGCAGGGTTTTTTACTAAAATGACAAAAAGGAAAAAAAAAATGGGGGGATAAAAGGAAAAAAGAAAGTTGGCGGCATCCTCCGCCGTGTGTGTTCTCTGTACGCAGCGAGGTCGTGGGCCGTGGCCGCCTCCCTTCGTCCCTGTCCCCAGCCTCTGCTTGTTGGTGTTGGTGGGCCCGGCCCCTCCAGGCTGGCCCAGACCCGTGCTGTGGCGAGCGCCTTCAGGAGGCGCCGGGCGGCGGGCCAGGACGGCAGGTTTTGATTGCATGCCTTCGCTGTAATGAGTCCACTTTGCTTTAGGTGTCTCTTCCCCCGCCCCCCTGCCTCCCTCCCGTCGTGGACAGCTTTTACTGCTTCTGTTACATTGACCCCCCCCACCACAGGCTGGGATTTCAACACATAAACAGTTAAACACCTATAACAGCATAAGCCACGCGGTACAAGCGGGAGGGTTCTCCAGAGGCAGAAGACACCGAGAGCAATACCTCTTGTCAGCCTTCCTCTTTTGTACTTGGGACACACGCAGACGTCACGGAAACAAACAAGCCCCACCCAGTGTATCCCTTGTCAAATAACTGTGAGCAACCTTAGTTCTCGAACAATAAATTCCTTCAGTAAAAATACCCGACGCCAGTCTCCGTCCAGGTGGGTGGGGCCGGGATGTGGGACACCGGGGACCAGCTCTCGTCCCCAACATGCACTTTTCTGGGCTCTGCCAGAGGTGGATGACACCTGACATTACCTTCTGCCCTGAGGAAGAGGGCAGACCCCTGTGCGGGGTTGTGGCTCTGCCCCCAGACTGAGCGGGGATCACAGGCTGGGCTGGGGGTGAGGGAGGCCCCGGGGGGTGGGGAAGAGGGAGCTGCCACCTGGGGCTGCCATGGAGCACTGCCCTGCCTGGCTGCTGCAGCTCTGCTGCCACCACCAGACCTCATGGGGTCACCCTAGCATCTGGACAATGAAACTTCTTTCTGCTCCTTGGTAAGAGGTGGTTGGGGCGCCATGACCCAGCCCTGGAAGTGATGGGCGAGGCTGGCGGGCAGCCCCTGGAGAATCTGGGCTGGCCTCTTCCACATAGGGAAATGGTCCCAGCCATGCCCACCACACCTGCCAGCCACGTAGGCATCACAACCATGCACTGGCCAGCCACTCCTTCTGCTGGAGCAGCATGAGGAGGAGTCTAAAACCCCACGAGCCCCAGGGCTGCCCAGCCCCACGCCACACAGGAGCACCTGGGAGTCTGTCCACCCACCACACAGCGTTAAGGATGGGCAAGGAGCAAACCATGCTGCTGCCCATGGACCACCCCCCCCCAAGGCGTGTCCCACACAGGCACTCCCCTCATATGTGAAGGCAATCAGGCACCACAGCATGGCCACTGCAGCCAGCTGTCTCTCCAGAGCAGGGTCCTGCCACCACAGCACCGACATGTGGGGCTGGATGGTTCTCTGTGGTGCGGGCTAACCTGCACTCTGTAGAACGCCAGCATGGTCCCTGGTCTCCCCCAGCTAAATGCCCATAGCCATCCTCCACCACCCCGCCCCAGGCAAAACTATTTCCGACACTGGCAGACAGGATCAGCCCTAGATCCATGCTCTACTGCCTGTACCATCTTGCCGGAAGAGAGTGCTGCTCTGACTTTTTGAGCTCCGGTGCTCTGTGGGAATGGCAGCTGCCTCCAGCTCTGCTCAAGGCCCAGGACGTGAGAAAGAATCTGGTGATGTGGAACTGGGTGGGCTCTTTCTGGGCCAGCTGTAGGACAGCACTGTGCTTTTGAGGGAGGTGGGCACCCAGAAGGTACTTGAGGGGGTGGAGGAGACAGGCCAGGCCCCACTGCAGTCGCTGAACTGTATGGCATCCCATGAGCTTCAGCTGAAAAACAGGCTGAAAGAGGGATTCAGTTAGGCATGGTCACAGGGCCCAGGGGTCCTTGGGGTGCTGGCCACGGGGGAAGCCTCCTGGAGCTGTGGTCCTGCATCTGCTGTCCTGAGAGAACAGCTGACACACGCAAACCATCTTCCTTGACTTGGCCCTCTGTAAATGCCAGCAGTGTCAGCCTTAAGGGACCAGTGATGGGGAGCCCCACAAGGTATCAGTATACCCAACAGACCCACCAGCCTTGCACTTGCCCACCATCACACCCATTTAGCAGGAAGGCCACACCCTTCAATCCTACTTCTGACACCAAGCTCTCTCTGGGTTTTAAGAAATGGAAACCAAGGCAAGTGAAGCCAAAAACTGTTGGTATGAATGTCTACTAACACGACACTCTCCTGAGCACTTTACGCTGAACATTAAGCCAAATGGTCCTCGTGCTTTTCTGTGAGGTAGAGATGGGAACAGGTACTTAAACCAAAGGAGGATACGGTGGAGGGTCTAGCGCCTGCTCAGAGGATGGCCTCTTAGGACTGACACAGTTCTCAGGCACTGGCAAGTTTTCGGTGCTGGCTACTCCTGGCACAAATCAACGGCTGTGCATCCACCAGAGTCACGGCGGGAGGGTGCTGGAGGAAGGCAGTGAGACCCGGGCCCCTCAGGGGCTCTGAGGGCCAGCGGGTGGCAGGGACAGGATGGAGACACCAGGGGCTTGTGCTCTGCTAGGCTTAAAGCCTGCCCCAGACCCTGCCCATGCTCTCTGCTGACCGTGGAGGCAGAGGATCCCAGAGGCTCCTAAGCTGTGAGGTGGGGCGACTGCTGGTGTCACGGGGGCAGCTTCCTTCTTGCTCACACATCTCTGACACCAGGGAGCTCAGCACACAAGTTGCCTGGCGGTTCTGCCCTCCCCTCCCCCTGTGGCTCAGAGCCCTCACCCCAGGTCACCAAGGGTGGAATCACCAAGTCCGGTGCCCCCTCTCTGCTGGCTTCTCCCCTTCATACTTCCCCCTCCTTCATCCAGACCACTCCCCACCATCAACCCGAATCTCTTCTGTGATTCATCCAGGGGAGAGGTTAGCGGGTAGTAGAGGAGATGGTGATGACGGCTAGAGAAAGGCAGCTGGGATGGATGGAGGCAGGTGTGTGCCAGCTTTGGGGCTCCAGTGGGATGGCACAGACTGTGCTGCTGGCTGCAAGCCCAAGGGCTGTGCTGCCCCACTCCTTGGCATCAGGCCCTGGGCTCAGTGCTTCCATAGGTCATGTCCTCATGCCCCTAATGACCCTGAGAGTTCCATGGCTCATCTTCAAGATGTATTAGTTTCTTGTTACTGCTCTAACATATCGACAGACTTAAAACACATATGATCATCTGAAGTTTTGGGGGTCAAGCACGGGGTCTCATGGGGCTAAAGCCATGGTGCTGACAGCATGGGTTCCTTCTGGAGGTTCTGTGGGAGAATTCGTGTCCCAGCCCCTCCCAGCTTCCAGAGACACCTACGTCCTTGGAGTGGGGCTCTCCTCCACCCTCATGGCTAGGAACACCAGGCTGTGTCCTCTGGCTGCCTGCCGGCTCTCCGTTCCTTCTTCCACCCCCAGTTTTAAGGAATCTCATTATTATACTGGCCTAGGTAATCTCTGCATCTCCTGCTAAGCTGACCTGCAACTTGAACTCCCCTCTGCTGTGTAAGGTGCCATGCTCACAGATTCCAGGGACTAGGGTATGGACGTCTGGAGGAAGCATTGGTCAGGCCCACAAAGACTGCCCTCGAGCAAGTTCCACACCCATCCCCCATGGAAGACACCCTCACCCCAACCAGGGTCCCCCAAACTCTCAGCAGCAATGCATCAAGCCCCACATGTCGCCTACATCACCTGAATTGGTATGGCTGAGACTTGGACCCATCGAGTGCAAAATCCTTGCCATGTGCCACCACTGAAACCAGAAGTGCTATGGTGGTACAGGTCCTGGATGCCAGTTACAGAATCCCCATCCCAGAAGGGAGACAAGAGAAGAGGGAGGGAATCACGGGTCCCAGGAGATTCCAAAATCCAGCCAAGCAACTCTGTGAGGTGCTGTCAAGGACTGGGAAGAAGTGTGTGGCTCAAGGCTTCCAGCTCTGGGCCATGCTCTCGTCTGCAGAGAGGCCACACAAGTCTGCAGCTGACGGTTCACCAGCATCCCTGTTCACAGGGCCTGGGTGTCCCACAGCCCTGCACTTTGTCCTCCCTCTGCACCCTGCAGTCCAAGCTGGCAGGGTTTCTGGTGGCGTAGGACTCTTGAGGACGGTGCGGGTCTCCTGTGTGCATCATGGGCATTTGCTCCACTAGACAAGACACGCCTCCAGATCCTTCCAAGAAAATCTTTTCTGTTTTGCCATTTGCAGAGATGAATGCAGAGTCTGCTAGTCACATGCACAATCTCTTCATAGTGCCCCCTGCATGGCTGAACACTCTGAGCTTGGTCATCTTTCTGAGGTATTAGCAAAAGGCTGTCCAGCTACAGCCTCGACTTGTTCTCTAGAGCACATTTCTCCTGACAGTGAAGCCCCTTGTTTTAGTGGCTCTTGCCACTCAGCTGGGCAGAGAAGCTCTGGCTCGCCACGTGTAGGGGCCCCCGTGTTCAAGAGCTCTGCCTTCCAGTGGGCTTCCCTCTCCCACGCCACTATGAACAACAAGAAACCAGGCTGCACCTTCCATGCTTGGCAGTCTTCTCAGCTGAATACCCAGGTGGATGGCTCCTGAGTCCCGCCCTCCGACAACCGTGGGGGCAGAACTTGGTGGGGCTTTCCACCATGTGACACTGCAGGTTGACGGTCCCCTATCCTCCATGCCTACGGACATGGTCCTCACTTCTCTGTGCCCTCCCCAGCAGTGCCTGACACATTCCTGCTTCTACAGATAGATGCTCGTGGTGGTTTCAGGCACGCCTCAAAGCAATTTGCCAGTTCTCCTCTGCGCAGCCCCTCCTTACATGTGAGTTTTTGGTAGGGGCATCCTCAACACCCGTAATTCCTACCGATCACCTACTTCAGAAAACTTGGGTTTTTTTCTTTTCTTTTCAATTTTATTTATTCATGAGAGACACAGAGGGAGGCAGAGACATAGGCAGAAAGAGAAGCAGGCTCCATCCAGGGAGCTCAATGTGGGACTTGATCACGGGACTCCAGGAACACACTCTGGACCAAAGGCAGACGCCTAACCACTGTGCCATCCAGCGTCCCACATGGGCTTTTTCTACTGTGCCCTGCAAAACTCTCCCAGCCTCCGCCCACGGCCACTGGTCCATCCACAGGTATTTGCTGCAGGGCACCCCACCCCTGGGAACACAGTCTGCATTCATTCCCAGTCACTGCTGTGGCAGGGCACCACAACCGTGGCTTATTTCACAGTTCTGGAAGTCAGATATCTGAAGTGGATCTCACGGGGCAACCATCTAGGTGTCAGCAGGGCTGGTTCTTTTTTTTTTGGGGGGGGGGGGCTGGTTCTTCTTGAGGCTCAAGAAGGAAAAAGCATTTCCTTCCTCTTCCACAGCCCAAGATGGCCATGATGCTCTGGCTCTTGCAGCAAAGAGCTAGCCGGCTGGTGGAGAGCACAGGGCATCGCCCTCACCCTCAGAGATGTGCAGGCTGGCCCTCATCCTGGCTGCCTGCCCCTTCCTGGGAGACCTTTTGAGGCCTGGTGACCAGTGCCGTACCCAGAACCCCATGTGCTCAGGGATTACACAACTCCTTCCTAAGTTAAAGAAATATGACCATGTGTCCTGGACACCTTTCTGCAGATATAGAGGTCATCCACGTGTGCACGCGCACACACACACGCATACACACAATCTCAGACTCCATCCAGCAGCTTGAGCTGGAAATCCCCATGTCCTCCTGGCACGGGCAGTGCCCACCCTGGCCAGTGACAAGGACCCAGACTGCTCAGGCCCAGCCTTGCCACCTTCCCACTTCAGGCCTACGCCCAGTAGCCAGGCCCCACTCCCAGACACGCACTGGACACAGGGTCTATTCCTTACCCCCAGCCTGGGATTCTGGGCAGAAGAGCAGGTGGAGTCAGGCCCTGCTCTGCCTTCTGCCTTCCCCCAGGAGGTGTTCCTGGGGCCCAGGTCGAGAAAGACCCCTACCTCTGGCTCCCACACCCAGGCTGTGGTCAAGTTCCTGAGGCCTCTACTTAGGGTACAGATGCCTAGAGAAGCAGAAAGACCTGGGGGTGATGCAGTGGGAGGGGCCAGGGCACAGCCCAACAGGCTGAGGTCATAATGAGACCCAGGCCTTGCTCAGGAGGGGCTATGATCTCCTGCTGGCCCCAGAGGCAGCCGCAGGGTTTTGGGAAGCAGTAGAGGGGTAGTGGGGCTATGCCCAGTCAGAGAAGCCCAACCCTTTGGTAGTTAACATCTGCTAGCCTCAGTGGGAGAGGTCAGGCCTCACAGGATGGCAAGGTCTGGATGCTGTGGGGTGTGTCCAGTGACTGAGGGACAGAGGGGAGCATGCTTCCCCACTAACCTGGGCTCCTGACCAGACAGGGACAAAGGCATGAGCTCCGGTGGGACAGCAGCAGGCCCTGAGGGGTACAGCAGGGCCCAGGAGACTTCTTGCAGGGCAGGCAAAATTTCTCAGTGGTTCAGAGCATGCGTGAATTCAGCAGACAATACAGGTGGAACTTTCTAGAATGGTGTAAGTTAAAGCCATGTTAAAACAATTCTGATGTCTGCCCTCCATGTCCAGGGACTGAGTCAATGGGGTGGAGATTGGTTCAAGCACAAAATAATTTTAAAGTTGCCCCCAACTAACCAGTGTGCAGCCAGCAGGGGAGGTACTCTGGTGCAGGGAGGAGTCAGGAAGACAGTGCAGGACCCTGGAGAAGAAATAGGGACCGGAACGTGAAGACAAGGTACCCCTGGGTGCAACTGCATTTGCAGTAAGCTCCAGGACTGTCAGATGGGGGGGGGGGTGTCATTCTCACGGACAGGATGAGAAAGAGTCATCACCAGGAGTGGAGAGAAGGTGGGCAGGCCTGGTGGCAGCCACCAGCTGGCAAGACCCCAAGGGTCCCACGGGTCATGGGAAGCAGAGCTGAGTGTGGTGGCACTCATCTTTAGCTAGGCCCTGGGGCTGCTGATGGATCCAAAAGCAGAGGAAGGTCACAAGCATGTTTTGCAATAGCTGAACTTACAGGCAGGAGGGCAGAAACTGAAGACCTTTCTGGTGGGGTGAAGGCTGGGGTAGGGAGGGTGTAGGAGCTGAGTCAGGAGTCAAAGACCCCCACCACTTAGGGGTGGGGTGGGGTGAGCATGACAGCCAGAGAAGGCCATCCCCTGGCAAGATGTCAGGTAGGAGGGTGGAGCGCCCCTGGAGCCCACTCTTCTCTTCTCTGCCCGCACAGGGCCTATACCAGCTCCAGGGTTACATTAGGTGCCATCCTGCCCGGCCCCTGCACTGACCCCACTCCCGAGCTCTCCTCTGGGCTCACCACCCAGACACCACAGTGCCCAGGCCAGGGCTGACCCTTACAGCAGAGCCCCCAGGGCTGGGCTGGCCAGGAACCCCCAGCCTGCTCCAGCACACACTCCAGGGTCCCTGCCACCTGCACAGGAAGGCGTGGAACGAGCAGAGTGATCATGACTCCCTGGAGATGCAGGAAACAGGCATGTCCCTCCCCATCCCACTCCCAGCTCCCCAAGGTCCTGCAGGGGAGCCTGTGGTCAACCCTGGCAGCAAGGGCCCAGCCTGGGGTGGGCAGGGGCCACTGGAGGCAGGAGATGGGCCACCCTCAGTCTCATGGCAAGCACTGAGGTCACCGGTGATGCCGAGGATACACACAGGCGCTGACCTGAGAGAATTCTTTTTATTACGACCAAACAGGTGAGCCGAGCGGGGACACCCAGCCTTCCGGCAACAGCTGCATCTCCACACAGGCCGCCCGCCCAGGCACCTCGGTCCTAGGCCCAGCTAGTCCAGGGGCCCTTGTGGGCGGCAGGGGAGTGGGGGACACGGCCACAGGGTCAGGGCCCCTGTGGACATCCAGATGGGACACTCCCATCCCACCCACTCTGAGCCGCCGACAGCCGCGATCCAAGCCAGGCCAGGAGAGGGAGGTCTGCGGGGCAGTGGGGAGGAATCTCTAAAACAGCCCCACCCTGGAAACCAACCAACGAGAGCCCATGTCCCTCCTGGGAAGGAGCCCCAGCTCTCACTGGTATATTTCTCTCCACACAGCAGAGCCCCCAGGGGAGGCAGAGGCCACGCGGAAGCCCAAAGAAAGGAAAGCCCCACAGGAGAAGGAAACTCAGACTGGCAGGCCCATAAACGTTTGTTGAGCGAATGAATGAAATCCAAAGGTCCTTCTTGACAAGCGGCACTCATCCATCCAAGAGGAAAAGCCCGGCGGGGAGCCAGTCCGACGCACGGCCTGCCAGCCTCTGGAGAGCCCACACTTAGCACGCCCGGGGCCAGGTGGGGGGGCAGCGGCGACCTCTCAGACCTCCCGCCGCTCGTGCCCGGTACGTGTGCGCACACACACAGGCACACGGACCACCGTCTCTCTGCACATGTGCACGCCTGTCCAGCCGGGGGCTCACCTCTCCTTCACGTGGTTCTGTGCCCCCGTGCCCCCGCCGCTGGCCCCATCGCCCCCACCCCCGCCACGGCCCCCAGCGCTGCACAGCACCTCCGTGAGGTCGTCCATGACGGCGGTCTCTTTGGGGTCGAGCAAGTTGAACTCCCTGGCGAAGAGGATGAAATGGACATAGAGTGTGTTCAAGTGTCCATGGAGCTCAAGGGCCAGGGTCTCCTTGAAGTGGGACCAGTAGATGTGTGCCAGCACGTGGAACAGGTACTTGCAGATCTTCTTCACCAGAGACTCAAAGGAGCTGGGGAATTCTCTGCCTAGGGAAAGAGTCCACAGTGTCACTCTGTGCTCTGCTTCACCCACCAGACTCCTCCAACTTCTCTAAGCCCTGATGCAGCACGCCCATGCCTCACCACCCCCAATCCCAAGCTCCCATCGTCAGGAAGGAGAGGGCCAGACCGGCTCTGCAGGCTCTTGGTGCTTTCTGCAGGACCAGCCTGGACGGTTCCCACCTGCCACACCCTTCCCACAGAGCAGCCCACTGGCAGGCACCTGAGTGACCAGTCACCCTAGGCCTGGCCCCGAGAGCTGCATCAGTAATGATCTGCTTGACTATACTGGCTGCCCCGCCACAGGTCACTCAAAGTCTGGACTCAGCCCTGGGGTCACATGGGCTTCCCTGGTGGATGCTCTTGGGCTCTCTACATGGCCAGGGTCACAGAAGAGGACAGGAACCAAGGTGCACGAGTACCTCTGCTGGCCAAGAGCTGCCTTCTGGTAGCTCTGTATTGGCCTAGAGCCCTTGCCAGGATCTGCCCAGGCCAGGACAACACAGCTACTGCTTGCTGGTTGTGAAGCCCCCAGTTAGGTGGACTATAGCAGCCCCACTGTACAGGGTGTGTGTGGGGGCAAGGGCCACAGATCCCAGAGCCTGGGGTGGGTGGGGTCTTGACCCAGGCTGACCCCTGCCAGAGCACACCTGCCTGGCTTTACAGCCCAGGTCACACAGCTAATCCTGCCCCACAAGCCTGGCCCCTTCCCATCGGCAGCCATGCCTGCCCAGCAAGAAGGAGCGCGCTATAGCAGAGATGTACCATATTTCGTGGGGAACACATCCTCGTCAGTCACCAGCTTCTGCACGGAGCTCATGACAAAATCGACGTACTGGGGAGCAGTGCACTTGACCTTCTTCCCCCGCTCATCGTACCAGTAGTACTGTCTGTGGGGACAGAAAAGGCCGGTCACTATGCCCCTGCAGACACCCAGGCCCCAGCCTCAGGCTGGCCACCAGGGATGGAGGTGTGGCAGCTGTCCAGGCTTCCCCTCCTAGGGCCTCCAGGGGCAGACACACTGTTTCCCACCACCTCGGGCCCCTCTGCACCAAAGGGGCAGTGTGTCCCACTGCACCAAAAATTCAGAACAACGTCCAGGACAGAGCATGCCATGTAAACCCAGGTACAAAAATCAACAGAAGGCATGTTCATTTTCTATACCTCGTGGCTTCAAGTTTCATTCCTTTAGGGGATGCGTGTTCTGTATGATCTGAAGGAGCACGGACAGCACGGTCTTCGCTACTGGCCCACCTCTTCCAGAGACACTGCTGTGACTTGTCAGCCGGGCCTCAACCCTTGGGAACACCCCTGCTCCCCCCACTAGAAGCCACATGCCCTTCATTGGTCCAGTGGGGTGGGAGTGCCAGTCTTCAGTGCGAGCAGCAGGGACACCCGGGATTTCTCATTCTGTGAGTCTAAGCAATGGGACCGAGCAAGTCCCATGTGAGCATGGACTGCCTTCCTGCCCCAGCACTTCTCTCCCCAGCAGAACACACATAGTGCCTGGTGGGCACCCACCTGGCAGCCACCCTGCCCTCCCCACTCTCTGCTCCCGGCTTCCCAGAGGGCTGCTCTGCAGGCTGGCTCACCAAGGACAGGACCCTGGAGCCATAAGAGGGCAGAGGGCAGAGGGCAAAGGGTGGTGGAGGGTGAAGGAGGATGAGGCAGGGGGAGGGTGGTCTATAGTCTGCTCAGGGATGTGGTGCCATACCTGTGAGTGATCGCATGGCCTGGACTCTGGCCCTCTCATCCCCTGGGTCCAGACAGGTAATGGGCAGCCTTTGGGCCCCAGGCTTCACATGGACTTCTTGGCACTCCCGGCACTCCCCGCACCGCACACCCCTCATTTTGCAGACTTAATTGGTCTCAGAATCAGCTTAGACTAAATTCCGCAACCTCAACATCCCACCTTGCTCAGGGGCCCTAGGCTGGCTAGGAGTACACTGCTTGATTTCTTGAGTTCACCAAGTACCCCTGGGTGACAGCCACAAGGTCTAACCCACTCCTACCACCTCTCAGGACAGTGGGGATCCCCATTTCCCATGGCCATCCTGACCCTGGCCAAGTGACCTCAGGACAGCTCCACTGCCACTGCCTCTGCTCCAGCAAACCCACCTCTACCTAGTAGGAACCAAGTGCTCTGCTCCACCCTGGGCATCTACTAGCATATTTGTGCCACAGGCAGGGAGTGGGGTCGGCTGGCAAGACTGGGAGAGCATGGCCTCCACATTAACGGGCGGGCCATAAGAGGAGGCCAGCCCCAAGTGGATAAGGGGACACGGCCCAACTGTCCCTCAGCATGAGACCTGCCCACTTGGAGGTGGAAGGTCTGGGGTGTGGCTGGAGCGTGGGGTGGGTCTGCAGAAGGCAGATCTTCCTGCTCCTGGGCTGCTCCTAGGCACTGCCACGCACCCACAGGGACAACAGGCTGCACAAGCCCAGTGCCATGTGCCCCACAAGGCCCAGGAATGCGATCAGGCAAGGTTGCTAGTGAAGACAAAGTCCTGAAGAATTTGCAAAACTCTCTGCTTGCCCTCAGGAAGTAAAAATCCAGCAAGGCGCTCGTGTCCAAACACCTGCCCTAACACCCTCCCCACACACAGGATGGCTTTGCCTGACCCTCCTTCCACCATGCAGACGTCACAGGGTGTGTCAGGTCACCTGAGGACACGTTCTGGGTCACTCTGGACAGCCTGTGGAGTCCCCATGCTGGAAGTGGAGCCCGGCTTCTGGGGGCCAGGCTGAGGCCTTTGTCTGCTGTGACATCCAGGGAACAAGGCCCAGTGGCCGGGCCGGTGTCACAGACCCCTGCTCTGACTCCCCTGACTGGCATGATGTTAGATGCACCTGGCTACAGGTGCCCAAGAGTCAGAAAGCACAACTGTTGACTAGAAACTGGGAGACGTCTCCACAATGTGTAGCCCGGAGAGACCAGCTCCTGAGAGACGGGGAGGACTGCCCCAGCTGTTTGGAAGATGAGACGCTCTGCTTTCAACATTCCTCTTGTTGGTTTTCATTTCTAAATTATCTCGCAGTAAAGAGGACACATTCTGGCATGCAGTCCCACGCATTTCACCCATCCAGATGGCCGGGTACCTCCCACAGCCAAGCACAGCTCACACTGCCCTTCTCAGCCACGGCCTCCCACCCCGGCCCCCAGTCCCTTCCCAGCACAGCAGGGATGGCCCCTGGAGAATGCCATGTGATCCAGCCCATCTCGGGGTGCATGCCCGTGGTCCCTGCCTCCTTACTGCTGAGGTGAGCTCCAGCACCCAGGTGCCAGTGTGTCCAGCTGTTTGCCTGCTGGAAGACACCTGGGTCATTTCCAGTCTGGGACAATAATGGCTTAGGCTGTTATAAATGCTCCTGGGCAGGTTTCTCTGTGAGCACAAGCTCTCAATTCTCTAAGGCGGGCACTCAGGACTGCTGGGCCTACACTCCTGCACTGGAGTGCATCCCTCCATCTGCATCCCTCCACTGCTCTGCCACCCACATCCTCGCCAGCACCAGGCATTTGAAGTAGGTGCTGTCACAGAAAAGTCTGAATCCCTATCCCCCCACCTGCTGCCCAAGGGTCATCTGCTCTCCTACGTCCTCTCTGCTCACCTGTGTGTCCAGGCCCTGGCCCACTGGTGATGCGTTTGGGGTCTCACACAGGAGTGGCAAGGATTCCCCACACACCCTGGACACTGGTCCCTTCTCGGTTATATGATTAGCCCATGGTTTCTCACAGCAAAAGTTAGAAATGTTGATTATGCCTGATTTACTGACTTCTTCACATCAATGAGCCAGGAGCTCTTCACCTAGTGCTAGGTTATGAAAATGTGTCTTCTTCCAATAAAAGTTTTAGTAAATTTTGGCATAAAGTGTGGGGTTTCAGTCAAGATTCACTTTTTTTTTCTTTTCTTGCACACAGATGACTGGTTTTTCCAGCAGCGTTAGTTAAAAAGATTATCCTTCCTGCATTAAATTTTTTTCGTATCTTTGTCACAAAGCAAAGGGCCACATTTGTGTGGGTCTTAGGCCTATTTCTGGACTCTGTATTGTTACCTTGATGTGTGTGTCCATTTACCAGCACCACACTGTCCAGATTACTGCAGCTGGACAGTGATTACAATTGGGCAGTGGATTCTTCCAGCCTCACTGCTCTTTCTTCAACACTGTCGTCACCGTATCTGTGACTGTGCCTTACCATGCCCAGGCCAGAGTGGGCTTGACTCTTCTCACCGAGACGGTAGGAAATGAGCAGATGGACCTGGGAGCACCACCCTCCAGTGGAGCATGCCTCCATGCGTGTGTGCGTGCGTGCCTCTCAGCTCCACTGTCCAGCATCTCAGCTTTCCAAGTTCATCCTGAGCATCTCATCATCCATGGGGCTGTTGTACGTGGTGCGGTTCTCTTAGCTTGGGGCTCCAAGCGGACACCACTCAGGGTTTTCTACACAGATGACCACGCTGTATACAGCAACAGAGGCACTCCTAGTTCTTCCTGTCCACGTGATACCTTCTGCTTCTGGTTTCTTGCCGTACTGCACTGCCCATCTTCAGTGAAGTTTGGTATTTTGCTCTTACCATGGGATTGGGCCATCTAAACTGTCCAATTTACATACATAGGGATTTTAGGTATGTTTCCTTAATAACTCCTTAGTATTTGGTGAGTTTATAAAGACACCCCTTTCATTCCTGATACAGATACTCTGTACCTTTTCTGTTTGTCAATCTTGCTAAAGGCTTACCAATTTTATTGATCTTTTCAAGAAACCAGCTTCTGGTTTCACTGATTTTCCAGTTTTCAGAAATCTATTTGTATGATATCTACTCTATTATTTCTTTCCTTCCGTTCAATTTGGGCTTATTTTCTTCTTCTTTTCCAGTTTCTTCATATGGCAGCTTAGATCCCTGATCCGAGATTCTTCTCCTGCAACAAACATGTAACCCTATAAATTCCCCTTGAACCTCTGCTGTAGCCTGCATCCCACCACGGCAGGTAGGCTGCATTTTCATTTGTGCTCATTTTCAAACATTTCTCATTCTTCTCTAACCCATGGATTATTTAGAAATGTGCTCATTTCCAAGTGTTTGGAGATTTTCCTGTTTTCTTTCTGTTACTGATTCTAGTCTAATTCCAGATGGTCAGATGATGAACGCAGTACGGTTCTGATTCTTCTGAGTTTTGAAGGGCTGTTTTGTGAGGTGGGATGCGATCGACTTTAGTGACTGACCCATGTGCACTTGAGAGAGGGTCCCTTGCTGCAGAGGGTGACATGCATCGAGCCCCGTTGGCTGGTGTCCTTGCTGACTTGCTGCCCACCAGCACCATTTGCCTCCAAGAAGGGACCTGAAATCTCCCACTCTGACGTGATCTGTGTCTGTTTTCTCAGTTCTGTCCACTTACTTTGTGTAAACACTGCTGCTTGGTGCACACATGTGCAAGATCAATACTTCTGGACTGACTCTTCTGTAAATATGCCATCTTCCTTATCCCTTGTCCTCTACTTTGCTCGGAGGTCTGGGGTTAATAGAGCCACTGCAGTTTTCCTCTGATTGATGCTTTATTGGTATATCTCCTCCATCCTTTTCGTTTTAACCTACAGACATCACTGTGACTGTGGTGCAGCTGGCTCAGTTTGAAAACCCTCTCCTGCAAAGCGGAGGCCTGTCATGTGTGGTCTCACAATCCCTGGTCTCAGGTCCTCAGGGTCAGCTGCCTCCTCCTGACACGGTATCAGAAAGCTGAGAAGGACTAAACAGCTCATCCTGCTGCCTGCATCCATCCCCGTCCTCCAGCATACCACGTGGGCATTTGATCATCACATGTTATCACAAGAAGAAAGTGGGTGCAGTGCAGTAAGAGCTCTCTCTCTCTCTCTCTCTCTCTCTCTCTCTCTCTCTCTCTCGGGCCCACTGAGGTATCTCTCTCTCTCTCTCTGAGAGAGAGAGAGAGAGAGAGAGATTACATTTATCTCTTATTCAATTGTCCCATTTTACAACTAGTTATTAGTGTTCATCTCTGTTTCTAATTTATCAATGAAATTTTACTACAAGGCACGAATGCATAGGAAAAACAGCACATGTAGGGGTCAGTCTGGCTGATGGCAGACCCTGTATCTCAGCTGTGCCATCAGCACATCTGCACCTCTGACATTTATGGATATTTCGGGTGTGCCTGAATTTAAGTTTACCATCTTTCATTTACTACCTGTTCCCTTTGGTTCTTGTCCCCCACAACTCCTCTTTCCTGCCTGCTTTTGAGCTATGTTTTAGTGTTTCCTTTTAGTTTGCCAATCATGACTTCAACTACATCATTTACATAACTATTTAGAACTTGACAACAGGAGTATAAAATACACACACTGCTGTTTTCAGCACCAACCTCCAGCCACTCCAGCAGGAGCACCCAGAGCCCAGGCTGCCACAGTGCCCTCTACTGTGATCCATCAGATGGGCAGGGCTCAAAGTACCCAACAGGATGGCTCCTCTGGGGCAGGTCTGCTTGCAGCAGTTCCCCTGGGGCAGGTCTACCAGCTGTGGATGCTCTGGGTCTTCCTCCATCTGAGAAAGGTCCGTATCTCACCTACAACCCTGACTGACATGTTTGCTGGAAGGACGACTTCGGGGTGACTGCTCTTTCCTTCCCAAGTTTTAAAAACATGGCAGAGCTTCCTTGTGGCCCAAGGCTTCTGATGAGTGCTGTGGCAACCTGCCTGTGTCCTGGGGGGACGCGGTGCTGCTGGCTTTGCTCTAGGAAGGATTTCTCCTGGCACAGTTTTGTTATGATGTGTCTGTGTGTGGGCTCATCACTTGGCCTACTTGGAGTTCTTTCAGCTTCTTGAATATGTAGGTTTGTGTCTGCCAAGCTTGGAAAGCTTCCAGCCATTACCTCTTTAAACATATTCTCCATGTGGCCCTTTCTCATCACCCTCTGGGACTCCAACATGACCCCCTGGTTTCCATGTCTGGGCCCTAGGCAGACACGCTGGTCCTGGGGCAGCATGCAGCTCTGGCAAACCCACCTTTTTCTCTTCCACTGACTAGATGTCCAACAACTGCTAGGAAAGCAGTAAAGCAGGCCAGGCCCTGGAAGCCTAAACGCTCTGGGGAAGGCAGCTGCAGTTGAGATGAATGAGAAGATTCCCAGTCTCATACCCAGCTCTACGCTCTTTCACAGAGTCTCTTCTCAAACACAGTGATACGGAAGGGCACATGGGAGCAGAAGAAACCAGGTTCCCAACCTGCCCACCCACCAGGCCACCTCTGACACCGCTGGGTCAGACATAGCCAGCAAGTGTCCTCCAGAGCATGCCACACACACAACAGCTCTACAACACTGTCCTGCCCACCTCCAGCATCTGCTGCTGGGTGGTTTCCTTTACTGAGGGTACTTCCCTCACACATGAGTGTCCTCCCCCCAACTTGCCTGCCCCACCCTTCCCTGGGTGACAGAGTGGAGAGCCAGCTGCGGTCTACATTTGCTCCCATGGGACAAGACCCTAAGCTGTGACATACCAGGGCCACAAGAGTGGGGTCTGGCCAGGCTGAGAGTCAGGACCTCAGTGGGCCCTCAGTGATGGCAGAGCTCCATTTGCTTGTGTCTTAGCTGGGTCTGTGCCCAGGAGCCTGGCCAACAGCATCTGTGGGCAGGCAGTGAACTCAGTATAGTACGCATTTGTGCATTCACCAGCAGGGGCCAGCGGCTCATGCACACCTGCATCAGCTCCTGACCTAGAGCCCCAACGATAAATAGGAGGTGTGAGAAAGGAGCTTCCGTGCCTCCTTGTCAGTCATAACTGCCCCAGGTTGAGGTCCAACTCACTCAACCTCCTATTTGTAGCCGCCTTCCACCCCATCTGCTATGAGGGGCCAGTGGCAAGCCTGTGCTGTGCGGTGGCTCTCCTACCTGCACCCCAATCAGGAGATGCAGGGTGCCCCAAAGCCCCTTAGGGGTACCTGCCTACTGAGGACACAAACGTGCACAAGCTTCCAGAAGAGAGTGGCCAGCACCCAGGCCCCAGCCAATGAAGAAGGCAACCAGAGCCTTTCTCCACCCAGTCCCTCCCTATCCCCTTCCTTACTCCCTCCACACAGAGGAGGAGCTCTTGGGGAAAAGCCATCCTTCAACTGGACAACTAAGTGAAGTAGAGAAGGACCTGCAGCTTCATGACGCTCTGCTGTCTAGGAAACCAACCTAGGCATATACTGTGGAAACAGCCTAGCCCCGAGAACTCACCCTGTGCCCCAGCAGGACCCACACCACTGAGGGCCTCCCCTGACGGGGCTCAGCCTCTGGTGTCCCTGTCCGAAAGGACACTGTTGAGGAGGACCCAAAGCCACCAGGAGACCCTGCGAGGGTGCCAGGCTGCAGCCAGGCAGTACTCACGTGTTGCACACGGCCATCGTCTGGCATGCCTCCCCTGTGCAGAACTCTGAGATGGTGCTGTACTGCAGGTTGACGTGGTGGAAAAATGTGGTGGCTGTGAGAGAAGAGAAGGACCAGGTGTGAAAACCACCTCTGCAGAATCGTTCCACGTCCCCAGTGCCCTGAAGGCTCAGGAGGTGCAGCGCTTCTTCCCTTGGACCCTAGGGCAGCCAGCACATGCCACAGACCAGAAAGACACATCCCAGTGCAGAGCACCAGCCCTGGAAGCTGGCCGTGAGCCATGTCGTGCAGGCTTGGCATGTGTTTGGACAGCGCCAAATTGGGCAGAGAGCCAGTGGCCATCTAGATGGAGTCCCCTCTGCAAGGGGCGGGGCAGGCAGACATGCTGTGAGCCCCAGGCCTGCCCAGCGGCTGGAGGTGAGATCCACCCTCCCCTCCCACAGGCCATGGCCTTCCCATGACCTTGGCACTGCCAGCCTTGCAGCCACACACCCGCACCACAGAGACTTCCAGCACTGCTAGCCCATCCCCGGTTCTGCCAGGACCTATTCCAGATCTTGGTGTTGTGGGAGACCCTAAGTGCACGGCAGGGCCAGCCACCAGCTCTGGGGAATCCTCGAGGAAGTGACCAACGGCAGCAGCTGTGGTGTCCTTCCCCACCCCGTGCCCACACGCACTGTTGCTTGCCAGCCACTCGTTCAGGTCGATCTCCCGGGGCAGTACCACCAGCTCCTTAAAGCCGACGTCAGTGATTCTGGACTTGGTGTACTCTGGTTCCAGGTACATCTTCTTCTCTTCTGTAGCAGGCTTCTTTCCATTGGGCTTTGCTTTAGACTTCCTGCCAGAGAGAAGGGAGCAGAGGGTCACTGCATGACAAGCACAGGCATGGGGGCCACGAGCTAGGTCCTAGGACAAGAGTGGGGCTGTTCCCGCCAGGGGGACACCCCAGGAGATTCTGCTCCCACTGGGCGCCAGGAGTGGAAGGAAGCTGCCCCCTGTCTGTGCCCTCCTCTGCCGTTATCAGGGGCCTATGGCCTGACTAGCCAAGCCATCCCGTCACCACAAGGGGAGAGTAGGATGCAGAGACACAGGCCAGAGGCCTGATGCCATAGGGCCAAACCCGGAACCAACTACAGGCAGGTGGCTCTGAGCCCACTGAAGGGGAGGGTGGTGGCCACACTTGTCAGGCTCTACCCTGCCCCTGCCCCGCCCCCTGGCACGCATGACTTGGCAGCTGCCTTGGCCCACAGGGTGGCCAGGTAGAACATAGAGATGAGCTTCCCTGGCCCAGCTCCTGATCCTTCGTGCAGACAATTCAGCCAATCGAGCCACCTGCCCTCACAGAGCACCCCCATGCATGACAGCTGGGGCTCCCGTGCACAACCCTGTCCTGCTCCCCTGGGCTCCATCCCAAGCACATGGTGTAGGTTCTGGGCAGGGGCAGAGAGGTTAGCATGAACCAGGCATTACAGAGATCTGCTCATGTGACCACTTTGCACCGAAAGTTTTTTTGCTGAGAAAAATAGTTATTTTCCATAAAAATACACTGTCATACAGAATGATCTTGTTATAGCTATTTTTATGGGACTAAATACAGATTTTGAAATGTCTGTTTTCATTCAAATCTAGTGAGCATTGGTAGCTAATAAGCCCCATAAATCAAAGTTCTTGGTGCTAAGAGGGCCCTCTCCTTGGTGGGGGAGCCCTGGGCCCCAAACCAGCCTCCCGCCAGCCTCCCAGAGGCCAGAGCCAGGGCCATGGTGTGTGCAACCTAGGTAAAGAAACCAGATGGAATGTTCCCTAAGAGGGAAGGGTGACCAACACAGTGGCCCAGAGCCTACAGCTGGGAACACGGCCCAGGCTGGGTCTGTCATAAGTCACCGAATGTCCCACTGGAGCACACCCTGGGCAAATGTGCCTTGGAGCAGAGGACGTCATGGAGGGTCACGTGCAGACACAGCCCCTCCCGGCAGCGACTGCCCAATGTGGAGGTACAAGGGGACCTCCTGCCATTTGGGTAGCTGCTCAGAGCACTGCTGTAATCCTTCTGCGCCTGCAGAGACCCCCCAGCGTTTTAGGGTTCAGAATTGGGTTCCCAGGGGAAAGTATGAGAAACTAAATACCTAATGGCATGAATGAGCCTCTTGGTTCTTAGTTGGACAAGTGAAATCTTCAGTGGCACACACTGACTCGTGGAAACAAACTGAAAATCAACACTATTGGGAAGTCTTACTGACCAGAAAAGGCCATCTTTGGCTATAAACTCTCAAAGACGGGCCCTCCCCACCCTAGGCACAGAGCCTCAGGGGAAGTGTGTGCATCTGCCCTGGGAACAGAACAAGACAGCTAGAGGCCTCGGAGTTCCAGGAGACACCTGCTGAGAGCCCCCCATCCTGCTCCGTAGTGGTGAGGGGTGGGAGTGAGCATGCACCTGCCATGGCAAACCAGCGGGCCCTACTGTCAGGACAGCCACAGCCCATGGTACCAGGGGCCACCTTCCTCCACTTGGCCCCCTACAAACTTGGAGGGCTGTGGTTAGGGTGCTGGCAGGGCCAGAGGGCTGGGGGGCAGGCAGGCTGAGGACCTGGACTTAGGACCGGCATACTTGGCCAGGCCCCACCTGCTCATGTCCTCAAGGTCTGTGACACCTACAGAAGGAGAAGCAAACCAGCTCACTCCTGGCCTCTATCTCTGGCCCAGCTGCCCAAGTGGGAATGCACCGTGGGTCTTGGCTGGGGCACAGCCTAGTGGTGGCTGGACGCTGCCATCCTAAGGACTCAGGGCACCCAGATCCCTGTGCACCCCTCCCACTCCTCCAGCCCCAGTCCAGTAGGGGCGAAAGGTCTCTGCAGCTCCCTGACCCTGTCCTTTTCTTCTGTTTTGAAAAGTTGCTAGCGGTTTATTTAAGAGAAACAGGAAGGAAAAATGCTCCCTGAATGCCAGGGAGATGTTTTTCCTCAGCTTCTCAGCAAATCTTCTCCTTAAAAGGCGATGTGTGCTCAGCCTCCTGGAGCACCACTGGGAGTGGCCAATGCCACGCAGGGCCACAGTGTCCTGGGGACAGGGTGGGACGGACACCCCTGACCTAGAGCTGCCAGCGCTGCCTGGGTGACTGGAACAACCTCTGTTACATACACATCTGCAGTGAGCACTTCAGGGGTCCCTCGGCCAAGGGGCTAAGTTCACTGGAGACAAATGTGGACACATGCTTCTCAGGGCCCTGCGGTCCCCTGGCCCAGGTTCCCACCCTTCCCAAGAGCATGCACAGGAAACATTGGCCCTGGGAGGGCTCTGCTCACTCCCTCAGATATTCCCTCAGGAAACGGTGGGCAGGCTGCTTGGCTCCCTGCCCCCTGCTCTTCTCCTGACTCTGGTCTCCACTACTGAGTCACATGCCACCCTATCAGAAAGCTTTAAGTCGCCTGTGAGAGCTCCTGTGCCCCATAGCCCCTGGCACGAGGGACCAGCACACAGGATGCACCTTCCACCTGTACCAGTTCTGCTCTGCCCACGCCCCACCAAACATCTATCTGCTGGGCAGACTTGCTGCTCTGCATCCAGCCCAATCTGACCCCACCTGCTCCCTGGTGCTCTATGTACACACCTGCCCACACCTCACTCTGACTCACACCTGGCTAGGACCACATGCTGGGCCTCGACCTCTGGGTCTAGGGGGTCCTATGATCACACGTGTAGGGAGGGCGCCCATGGGGCCTGAGCTGCAAAGCTGGCTGTCTGACCACCTCCTTGCCCTGCCATTCAGGAACCATGGTACCAAGTGACACGAGGACGAGGCATCAGAATCAGCCTCGGGGCAGCTGTTACTGGAACAGCCACAGGCAGAGCAGCAGCAGGAACCACCTTGGCAAAAACGTCACTGGAGTCTCACACAGACCCGTTTGGGGATGCTGCCTCAGGAAGGGTGTGACACTCTCGTGCTAGGGAGTCCATTACCAGGGGACACTGCAAGCCCCTTTAGGCCAACTCTCCAAGGGCCAGACAGGCAGCCTCGGGAGGATGTGGGCTGTGATGTGTATGGTCAGAAGGCCTCAGCCTCCTCACCCTTCTCCCCTACTGCTGTCCGCATCTGTTCTCCTGTAACAGGCTGAGTGGACAGGTGCATACCAGGCCCGCCAAGCTTGACTTCTCCAAGCTGGTCCCCCTGTTCCCGTTATCCAGGGCTGGCCTGGGACCCCTGGACATTGGTGCAGTTTGGGACAACCCTTCTGCCAGGCCTGCCAGCCCAGACTTCCGTGGAGCCTGGGCATGGAGTCAGTTTTCTTTCCTTCAGTCCCACAGGTAGGCAGCAGATGATGGGTACTGACCCACAGGTGGCAGGACAAGGTACAAACCAGGGCCCCTGTGCCAGAGTGGTCCCACAAGCCCAGCCACACTGGGTCCTTCCCACCCCAAGTTCTGTCCCATACCCTGCCAAGACACTTGGCCCCCCTGGGTGGCAAAATTGGCCCTGGCCCTGGCCCTGGCCCAGCCCCATTCCTCTGCTGCCAGCAGCAGCAGACCTGAGATTTCAGAAAACACCTTGTGGCTTCAAGGTGAACAGGCTATGTGACACCTGTCCCTATGGCCACACAGGTGGAGAAAACAAGACCCTGTGTCCCCTGCCCCACAGGCACTGTGCTCTGGAGTAGACTCTACTCAGGCAAGGCCCAGAGGTCTACTGGGGAGCCACACAGCTGGGTTCCTCCTCTCTGGCTCTCCCCCTTACTGCTCACTGGAACCCCCACAGTAGCAGCGATAGGCTGAGTCCCAGGCATGGAGTTGCTCTGAAGGGACCAGAAGGTGGACACAAGGCTTTGGTGTGCCACAGGGCCTGCTGGCACTTCAGGGAGGAGTACGGCCACAGACACATGGAGAGAACCCCAAAAGCACCTATATACTGCTCCTGGTCTACCAGGTGGGTTTCAAGGCTGGGCCATTCATTTGGGAGAGGCCCAGGCTCCACCGATAGCACTTTTGTACTGTCTCTCACATCAGTGGGTGCCCACCCAGAAGCCTCACCCCTTGCTTGCCCCACCCCCACCCCCACACCTTACCACCACCGCAGTAGTCGCCATACTCTGGGCATAGGCCCAGCAGGGTCCCTCTGCCCATGGCTTGGCCTGACACACTTCCCATCCAATGTCACACCACAGTCCCACCAAGAAGGCCCCTCAGTGTGAGCTGGCATGGACACGTAATACATCCACACCGAGCAAGGTGATCCAAGTGTGTAGGAGTGATGTCCGCCCGACAGACTGGGAAGGGTCTGTCAGCCACAGGAAAGGTGTCTCCCCTAAGGATGCAGACATACTGCAAGGGATCCATTGCCCAGGAGCACCTGCGGATGGGCTGCAGCTGAGGGAGCACTGCCCGTGCTGATGTGGTGAGCAGTCAGCTCAACCCCAAGGGCTGGCCGCCATGGGCAGATGCAGTAACGCCCCCGCTGGCACAGCCCCACCATCTAGGAGCTGTAAGTACATGTCAGGTTTGGAACACGGGATGCCTCCTTACAGCCTAAGCCATGCTGGGGCAAGGGGACGCTGGCTCCCAGGCACAGAGTGAGGCCAGGTGTACGCAGCAAGCAGGTGCTGAGCTAGGAGAAGAGATGGGCAGGACAGGTGGAGACCCCGGTCTTTCCTCAGAGCCCTGCTCAGCCTGCTGTCCCTCAACCTGACTCCGGCGGTGCTCCCTGGATGCTGGCATCCCAGAACAGCTGAGGTTCTGGCTGGAATGGAGGTCAAGCAGATGGAGGAAGGGCCCTGTGGGAAGTCGACAGAAGCGTGAGACCCTGACCCTGCAGGAGGTAGCTCTATGAGATGGAGAGCAAAAGGCCAGGTTACAAGGACCCTATGGATGGATGCATGGACGGCAGACCCACGGGCACAGAGACCCCACAGAAAGTGCGTCACAGAAACAGAGCCTGTGCTGGTGGTGGTGGTCTGGGAAGGGAAGGACCTGTGGGGAGGGCATCTGAGGACTGAGAAAGCAGAAGCAGGGTGCCCACCTTCCTGGGTGCAGCCCATCACTCCCTGCTAACAGGGAACTCCCAAGCCCAGGCTTGCCAAGAGCAGCTCTTTGGGGATCAAGAGCAGCCTCTAGGTTACGCGCACAGGACTCCCTACTCCCCAGGGGGCAACAGGGCCCCAAGCCCAGGCTCTTCCTGACCTTCCCAGGACAGTGATAAGGGCACGGGCTTCACAGGGATGGCACTGACAGCACTGTCACACCCCAGATGGCCCACCAGCAGGGTCAGACATCTCCCTCAACCCCAGAGTGAAAACCCTAGGGCTTAGCACCACTCCCAACCCCAAGTTTCTGATGTGGCGGGTCTGAAAACCACTTCTGACATGTGAGGTGCCCTGCATATATTGCATTCTTGCCGCTCCTGGTGCCCTGGTGTCACTATACTCCTTCCTGTCACAGAGCTTTGGAAACCAAACGCTGGGAAGATCCCCCCGGGGACTCCCATCAAATCCCCATGGGCTACAACTGGCCAGGTACTGTGGAGAGGGACACACAGGTTATTTTTCTTCTTGGTTTAACTGCCTGGCAGTCAACACCCCCAAACAATGCACGCTTTCACAAACCTTTGTGTCCCCTACAAAACGAGAGCCACCAAGATGGAAAAAGCCACAGAAGACTGAGAAAGGTACACAGACATCGCAGACTGAACGTCCACGTGAGTCAGGTGCTGCTGCATGCTGTCTGACCAAGAACCCAAGCCACAGCGTTTGCTCAGAGTACGAATTTTACGTTCACTTTTCCATTGGCAGAGTAAGTACTCTTCCTGTGACCTGGGCTGCAAAGTCACCTCCACCGTGAAGTCCTCTCAGATCTCCCCAGTAAGAAGGGCCTGGGCCTCTAGTCTCCCACAGCAGCATGCTGCTGCCTGGCCGGGGCAGGCTAGCCTCTGTCTTCTGCAGAGCCCCCTCCCACCATGCACATGCACACAGGCGTGCACATGCCCATGCAGGCACCCACCATGCCCTCCACATTGCCAGTGATGGTCTTGTCCCTGATGTGAACCAAAGACCTGGAGGGGAGCACCCTCAGCTTGTCCACATTTCCAGATCTCACACCTTAGCATTATAAGAGGCCAGCTTGGGCCAGCTAACAGCTTGGCTCTCTGCTCGGAATGCCCCGTGTGGCACACAGGTGGCCGGCTGTGGGGAAGGGCCCTGTGGGAGAGAGGGGCAGAAACCAGAGGTGCCCACAGATGGTGGGTGGCACAGACATGCACTCGGTCCCTCCATGCCAGCCACCACCAGCTGGGCTGGGCTACCTGTCGGACCCCGGCAAGAGGCCTGCTCAGCCCGGTTACACTTAAACACAGAATTGGAAAAGCAAGAGACATTTACTCTCAGTTTTAAAATGATGACCTACTAAAGTCTCAGGTGAATGTGAGATATCATATCAATCTAGCTGGGACACTCGGGATGCTGACTCTGGCCGCACTTCTAAGCCCTGCACAGCCCCACAGCTCTGAGCAGGCCTGCCCACCTCTAACAGCCAGCTCAGCCCACTGCTGCCGCCAGCTGATCCCACGCCTGCACCCTCCCACCAGTAGGCCACACGCTCTGCCCAGCACCTGACATGGCTTCTCCTCAGACACAGAAATGGCCCTGGAGTGAGTTTCTCTAGACCCCTCTGCAGGTCAGAAAAAGAAACTTAAAAAGCTGTCAGAAATGACTTTCCTGGCAACCCGCACCTCCTTGAGCAGACAGCTGCAGCCCAGGTCAGGTCTCTGGACAAGGCTACTCACGGAGAGCTTCCGGTTGTCCAGCCGGGGACAACGGGACAGACACCCTGCCAGTCTGGCAGGCTCGGGAGAGGGCAAGGCAGGACCGCCATGGGAGATGGGTCACTGCTGGGCTGCCTTTTCAACCAGACCCTCCAGGGGCGAGCTTCCTCCCATAAGCAACAGGAAGTACAGGCATTTAGGGAAAACCTGACTCCAAAATTCCTGACTGAATCAAGTCCCCCCTCCCTCGGCCCCCGCCCTGCCAGCAGCTGCATACAGCCAGGACCTTTGTTGGGAGAGTAGCAATCACAGCACTCCTCCCCAGGCTGACCCCTGGGCAGGGCTAGGGACAGTGAGACAGTCCCCACCACCCCCTGCCCCATTCACCTGAGCACTTTGCCAACAGCCTGAAGCACCATTTTGCAGCTGAGTCCAGTTTTGGGGGGCTGGCTGAGCAGAGCTCGGTCTGTGGGGAGGCTGCTGTGATCTCCAAGCATGGTGGGGCAGCGCAGAAACGGGGAGGGAAAGTGGGAGCCACGGCACTGGACTGCCGCTCCCTCCTCCCTCCCTCCCTCTCTCCTCCCCCCAAGGAGACCAGCCAATGAGGACACGCAGGGGGTGAAAGAAGGGCTCTGGCCTGGCAGAAAAAAACAGCTGCTCCTTTTACAGGCGAAGGCTGGCCAAGTCTGGTTAAATGAGGGAGTGTCTCAATCGCCTTTTCAAAGTGGCGCCTCACGGGCGCTGTGTGGGGTAAGGCCACTGCGAGGAGACAACTCTTGGGCAGGACCCATCAGTGTGGCCCCAGGGTGGTACCGCGTGGCCCCTCTGACACAGAAGGCAGCAGCTCTGCCCCCAGGAGCTCCAGGGCCAATGCCCCCCCCCTCCACCTGAGCCCAGCCCAGCTGACACAAGCTACCGCAGGGGCGGGGGCGGGGGTGGGGGTGGGGGTGGGGGCTACCTGGGCTGGCCACACACTTGCAGGGCATGGGCATGGGCTTGCAGCACACCTACATCATACAGCCTTGGAAAGAGAAGGCTGGCTGGCTCCCAGGACGTCCAGAGCAGGCAATGAGTTGGCGCGGGGCAGAGACTGCTCCTGGAGGGCAGACCTCGATAGAAATACCCAGAACTCCCAGTGGGGGTGCAAGAAGCTGAGTGCCCAAGCCTTTGCAGCTGTTCTAAGACACAGGAGGCCACAAAGTACTGAGAAATCAAAGGTCTGAAAGAGGATGGTGCTCTGCTCAGTCCTGGTTTTAGTTCTGGCCACAGAGACAGCGACAGCCTGTCCCCACGCTCACTGAGAAGCCCCAGAGCACAGCCAGAGGTCTGCCAGGCTGCTGCACCCAGATGCCCAGGCTCAGCTCTGGCCTCCACTCTCCAAGGCCACATCCCACAAAGCACCCTGCTGACCTTCTCATCTGGCCAAGTTCAACCCAACTCTGCAGGGGCAACCCCAAAGACACTGAAAGGACAGATTAACATGCAACAGCAAAGGGCAGCCTCTGCCCAGCACAGCTGGTGACACTTCCAGCCACCTGTGAGGCAGCGCAAAAAGGGCCCCTCCTCCCTGGCAGAACAGTGCTCCTGTGGCCACCCTGGAGTCAGCATGACCTGAGGCACTCCACTCGCTTGCTGCCTGCCCAGGGTAGAGCCACTAACCAGAAGGCCACACCCGGGCAGGTGGGTGCGGAGGCTCCAGGAGGGGAGGACACAGTGTGTGGGTGCTGCAGTGGAGCACTAGAAGAATACTCCAGGCTCACCTTGTTCCACTGCCTGCCCTGGCATCAGAACCAGCCACTTCTCCAGAAGCCCTGGTCCCTTGTATTGGAGAAGACAAAAACCTGACACCCAGCTGCTGGGTGGTACTTTCTTAGGTCCTCTTTGCTGACAGAGCAGGGAGACGTGCGTGCGCTCACCTACATACCTAAATCACCATCTCTGCGCACCATCTGCATAATGTTGTGCACATGTTCGTCCCAATGCTCCGGACAGATCCGTCACCCATGGGTCACCCCAGCCTCCTCCCCTGGCTTATCTATAACTTCCTGCTCCAACAAGGAGACACCTCTGAGGAGCCACAAGGTTCTGTATCACTTAGTCAAAACCATGACAGCCCGGGTGGCCCAGTGGTTTAGCGCCACCTTCAGCCCAGGGCCTGATCCCGCAGCCCTGGGATCGAGTCCCTCATCGGGTTATGGAGCCTGCTTCCCTCTCTGCCTCTCTCTGTGTCTCTCATGAATAAATAAATAAAATCTTTAAAACAAAACCACGGCAGAGGGAGCTCTGCACTGTAAAGGCAGCAAAACCAAGGGACCCAGCATTCTTATTAATGGTACAGCAAAGTGCAAGCTTCATTTAAAAGCAAATGGGAAAAGCTTTGTGGCTGAGTCCAATGAGATAGAAGAGAGTAAAACAGAATGAGCACCCCACTAACAACCAAACACCCCAGAAAGATACACACACAAAACAGATGAAACCTGTAACCCAACAAATTAGGCAATCTCAGGAATAACGTGACTTAAAGGAGGATTTGGAGAGGCAAAAGAACTCAAAATAGGAATGAGAAACGAGAGCCCCTGAAATGCAGGCTAACCCAGAAGGAGCACAAGGCCAACTGGCAGGAAATAAGGATGGAAAAAAGTGTTTTTAAATAAAAAAAGAACAAAGAGACATTCACTTGCATGACAGTGGGGTGACAGGTCCCAGGCTGACCTCCACCACCAGCAGCTACAAACTGGATGAAATATACAAAACAGCAGGTTTCAGGTACTAACTAGACAACTTTCTGGCGGCCCAGGACAGTGCCTGAGAGTAGGGGGCCCAACGGTGAGCAGCGATCAGTGTCGGCTGGAGGCTGGGGTACAGGCAGGTGAAGCCCACAAAGGCCTTGAAGTCTCGGATGGAGGCAAGGATTGAAGCTGGGGCTGCTGTCACGTGCAGGGCAGGGTGCCAGATGGGCTGTGCTGCCTAGAGAAGGGACTCCAGGAAGAAGGGACAAAAAACCAGTTAAGCCTCTGGCTGGCCACTCGTCAGAAGACTCACAGAGCCCCTCCATGGGGCCTCGCAAAGAGCAGTTATGGGGAACCATAAGCTCATGGGGTGCTCTGGAGGTTGTGAGGGGAGAAGACAGACATCCCCACTCCCAGAGGAGACACTGCGTGCACTCCATTAAGGCTCCCCAGGGCCTCGGCTGACTATGGCAGCCCCACAGGAAGGTTTCTCTAGACCTGCCCTCATCAAGCTCCAGCAAGCCTCAAAGTGTTTCTGCTGAACCAACAGCCAATGAACTGCATCCTCAAATAACCACAGCACTCTTTCAGAAAGGACAAAGAAACTCAGGGCTTTAAAAGCACTTGCCACCACAGTACCTAATGTGCGCACGCGCGTGCACACACACACAGGTATGTGAAGCAACAAAAAATGTTACCCATAACCAGGAAAAGTAAGAGTCAACAGAAATAGACCCAGACACAACAAAGACGCTGGAAGTCACAAAGACTTTGAAACTACAACAATAAATACATTAAACAATTCAAGGATTTACAGGAAAGGATGAACATAATGAGCAAAAGGACTGGAATTCTCGAAAGAGACACAGACATACCAAAAAACAGAAATTTCTAGAATTGAAAAATAGGATATCTAGAATGAAATTATATGGGATATACTTAGCTGATTAAAGAGTGAAATAGAAAAGTTTGTAATAAAAATATAACATTAAAGTTTATAGAACACAGCTAAAAAGCAGGGCTTGGGGAAAATTTAGAACTATAAACACTTATGTTACAAGAAAAGGCTTAGGGACCCCTGAGTGGTTGAGCATCTGCCTTTGGCTCAGGGTACAATCCCCAGGTTCTGGGATGGAATCCCACATCGGGCTCCCTGTAGGGAACCTGCTTCTCCCTCTCCCTATGTCTCTGCCTCTCTCTGTATGTCTCAATCGTAAAAAAAAAAAAAAAAAAAAGGCTTAAAATCAATGACCTATACAGCCACCTTGAGAAGCTAGAAAAAAGGCATATTAAACCCTAAGGAAACAGAAAGGACATCATAATAGAAATCTATTAAACAAAACAGACAGATAATGAAAAATTAACTAAACACAAAGGTAACTTCAGAAGCTTAAGAGAACTGATAAATTTCTCAGCCAGACTGATGCAAAAAGGGGAGGGTGTGGGGGTGCAGATGGCCCATGGCAGCCACGGAACAGGACATGCTGACGAGCCGAGAGATGCTGGAAGGATATGAGGGCATGCTGTTGAGTCCCACACCACTGGGACTGCTGTGAACCACCGAATGCCAGCAGAAATGAGACAGTTTTTTTTTTTAAGATTTTATTTATTCATGAGAGACACAGAAAGAAAGGCAGAAACATAGGCAGAGGAAGAAGCAGGCCCCATGTAGGGAGCCTGATGTGGAACTCAATCCCAGGGCTCCAAGATCACACCCTGGGCCAAAGGCAGGTGCCAAACCACTGAGCCACCCAGGTGTCCCTGAGACAATTTCTTTTATAAACATAAGTTACCAAAACTGACACAAGAATAGAAAATTTGGATTTGTAATAAAAAAAAATTTTTCTATAAGGAAATGTCAAATGCAGGTGACTTTATGAGTGAACTCTGCCAAATATACAGATGAAATAATACCAGGGCGTTTGGGTGGCTCAGTGGTTAGGCGTCCAACTCTTCCTTTCAGTTCAGGTCACCATCTGGTGGTTGTGGGATCGAGCTCCATGTCCGCCTCTGTGCTCAGTGCAGAGTTGGCTTCAGATTCTCTCTCCCCTCCCTCCCTCCCCCTCTCTCTCTCTCTCAAATAAATAAATAATATCTTTTCTAAAGAAAATCTAAAGTTAATATCCAATGTTCAGCTGAAAGCCTACACATCCTTCCCTTAAGATCAGGGATCAGGCAGGGATGTTCGCTCTCAGTATTTCTATTCAGCACTGCACTGAGAGTCTCAGCTGGGGTAATGAGGCAAAGTAAGAAATAAAACGCATAAATATCAGGAAGGAAAAGGATATCTTGTTTGGGAAATAATATGGCTATATATACCAAAAGGTCTGGAAATGCACAAAAAGTCTGCTATAGCTGATAAGTAAATTTAGCAACATCACAGGATGCAAGGTCAATATACAAAAATTCATTTTATTCCTTTACACTAGCAACAAACAAATAGAAAACACAAGTTATAAAACTTTTATTTAGTCAGGGAGCCTGGGTGGCTCAGTCAGTCAAGCACCTACCTTCGGCTCAGATCATGATCCCAGGGTCCTGGGAATGAGCCCCACATCCGACTCCCTGCTCAGCAAGGAGTCTGCTTTTCCCTCTCCTTCCACCACTCCCCCCTACTCCCGGCCCTGCTCATGCTCTCTAATAAATAAAATCTTTAAAAATAAACTGTTATTTACAACAGAACTTTTAAAGTTGAGGAACAGATTTCATCAAAAGCATATGGAGCCTCTCATGAAAAAGCACAAAGCGTTGATGAGAAAAATTAAAGACAGAAATTAATAAAGACATCTACCCT